CTAAAATTTCAATGTAACTACTTTCCATACATGAACTATTTCATATCATAAAATGCCATAAAAGTTCAATTTACTACAATATTATTTGGGTTGGATTTGATCGACCATTTTTGTCCTAGAATTATATTTACATATATAGTGGAACTTGCGGCATTTCATTTTTTTATAGTTGCAATAATGCCACCAAAAGTTTTAAAAAAGCAAGAGTAAAAAACGAGAAATGCTACCCTAAGTTGTTTTCAACTCTAATCGTTTTTATGCTTGAAGTTAGGGGTGAGCAAAGAATAATGATATGTAGTACCACGGGTGCTATAATACCAATTTAGATGACTCTAAATAATAGACTCAATGAAAAATAAAATTAAGTGATTTATTTAATTATACATCTCATTTAATGACATATTATTGTAACCTATACTGGTGTTTTAACATCCGTTGTGCTAAATATCATTACTCTTAAACATAAGTATTGAATTAAATTGAAGAAGTTATGCTTAAATTTTAAATACAATGCTAGATCAAGTTCAGAATAGTAGAGTTGGTCCTCGATTCTAACACTTGTAACTAAAATTTCGAAATGAACCAAACTTTTAGATGTTGTTCTCTTTGTGTGTGTGTGTGTGTGTGTGTCTCTCTCTCTCTCTCTTTCTTTTTACTGTGGCAATGGTGTGTGGTGATTTTGAGTGCGTGGTGTGCGACGATGGTTGGTGCAAGTTGTGGCTATATGGGTGGTGTTTGGGTGCGTGGCTGTGGCAATGGTTTTCGGGTACGTGGCTGGGTGTTGTGGTGTGGTGTGGGTGTGGTGTGGCTATGGTGTTTGGGTACGTGGCTGTGGTGTGCGTACTGTGGCGGTGGTTATTGTTGTGGTGTGGGGGTGGCGGTGACGGTAGTTCTGCGACAATTTTAGCTGTTTTTGTGGTGGTGGATCTGGCAGTTGTGTGGTGGTGGCTCTGGTGGCGGATCCACGATTGTGTGGTGGTAGTGTAGTGCAGGCGGTGGCAGTGGCGGTGGTGGTTGGGGTATTGTGGCGGCGACATCGATGATGTTTTTATGGTGGTGCAGTGATGATGGTGGTGGTTGCGGCGGCGATGATGTGGTGTAGGCGGCGTTGGTGGTGATTGTGGTGAGGTTAAACTGAAAACACCAAAAACGCATTTTAAAAATTTTGGCTTGATTATAACTGAAATCACCCAAAACGAAAAATTTGTCATTAACGGATTATCAAATCGGATTGACCCATTTCCATATTTGATCCATTTAGTTAACGGATTATCGGATTCGGATCTTAATCGGGTTATCGGATTGAGACCCTAAATACATCTCCCATTAATTTCGTTGAATTCGGATCAAAATCCAATCGATTGATAGCACTAGCCACCAAGGAACACGTGGTTAAAATAGGCAACAAGAGGGCTTTGAAGAAGAGATCCTTCGCATCAATGTGAACTTGCGTTGTCCTCATCACCAACATAGGCGAGGTGGCACTACATCACGCCTAGCCAGGGAAGTGGGGGAAATGGCCCAGCAAAATGCAGTCATGCAACAACTACTCATGCAAATGCACCAACAAGCTAGATCCCAGGTGCCTCAACGCGGAACGTTTCTCCAAGAGGGTGAGGAAAACAATACATCAGCACACCCTTAACGGCATGGCATGGGTGACAACCCAGTGAAGAGGGAGGTGGAAGTAGATACCTCCACCAACTACGTTACGAGCCGACCTGGTATTAGCATGGCACAGGAAGAAAACTTTCTTCACGAGTACACTCAAGAGCACTAACCTCAAAGGTCCAACAATGTATTCGATCAAATTGGACCCTCTAGGTCTAGAAATAGGTCCCATCAACCACCCCATGTTCAAATAGAGCAAGGACAGTTCCAAGGATATGAACCTCAGGGGATACCACCTCTGCCTAGAAATAGGCGTAAGATGATGGACGAGGGGAATATGAAAAATCAAGCAGGGACGTCACAACCCCCTCATTATCAAGTAGAAGAAAATGATTCTGATGGTCCATCCAGATCATTTGAACTAGATGATGATGATGAAATCTTGCCCTTCTCTCGAGAATTGAGAAGCGCCCCTATCCCAAGTCACTTTGTACCTCCGAAGATACCCAAATATGAAGGAAAAGGTGATCTGGCGAAACACCTCAACAACTATAAAACCCAAATAACTCTGCGAGGAGCCTCACCGACGTTGAAATGCAGAGCTTTTCACCTCACGCTAACAGGAATCACAGAAATTTGGTACAACCACATCCCAGCCGGCAGCATCAGAAGTTGGCCGGACCTCAAAAAGGCCTTTCTGAACCAATACTTGTCTAGCAAAGAAGGAGAGGCCCCCATCCAGAGGCTGCAGGACATGAGGTAACAGGCAAGGAAAACTTTGAAAAGCTATTTGGCTCACTTTACGAATAAGATGAGTTATTGTGAGCATGTTATCGATAGAAATGCCCTTTCTGCCCTAAGGGGAGGCCTCAACATGAACACTTTATTCTGGAGAAACGTACGAAACAGGAAACCCACTTTTTATGATGCTCTGGTGGAGATGATGGAAAGTGAAATCGTCAATAAAGATCTGATAGATCACCGAAATAGGACCTCGCTGGGGCTCCCATTACCTCAAAGACAGCGAAGAGGCCCTGTGTCTCACTTGGTGGACCAGTAATGGACCCAAGCAGGACACACAATAGCTCCCACCTCAGGCCAAGCATTGGCCACCGCCACGCTGAATGCAGTGCCTTCCTTGGCATATGAAGAGGTTGGGACTGAAGTCCAAAGGCAGTTGACCCATCCAGAGAAAGAGGAAGAGGAAGAAATAGGAAGCCTCGAGATAGGCAGTACTGCACGTATCATCGAACCAACAGCCACAGTACTGAGAATTGCCTATCCAGGCCATATCATGAAGAACCAATTGGCCCCCACATTGAGGGTGGAAATACCCACCAAACACAAAGACATGTGTCCCAGCCTAGGCATAGCTAGGCGAGGTTCCCCGGAGGAACGAATTGCCTATATAGGAGCACGAGGAAAATAGGAACAGGGCAAGGGGCAGAGGCCTAAGAGAGAGCCTCCAGCAAATGCTGATAACATTCCTGTCAAAGAAATTAACACCATTATAGGTGGTTCTCACATATGGGAAAACTCTAAGAACACACTGAGAAACTACACGAGAGAAGCAAAAAAGCCCCATGTGGTGATCTACTTGATCAATAACACTGGTCATGGGTCTGAGAACACCCAATCAATTACCTTTTCCCCAACACATACTGTAGGAGTTCATTACCCACACTGTGATGTACTAGTGGTACGAGTCGTCATAGGCAGAAATGGACTGAGACACATGTTGGTATATAATAAGAGTTCGGTTAATATCCTGTTTGGAACCACCTTCAAGAAAATGATGGTGGATCATGAGCTCGCCCCCATGACTGGTCCCTTATACTACTTTACTGGTAATAGCATCGTCCTTAAAGGAATGATCAAATTAGCAGTGGAAATGGATGAACCCCCATTCAAGGCCCACCACTTCATGGAGTATTAGGGCAATTCGCCTTAAAAGAACTCGAGGCTGTGACGTCTATACACCACCTATGTATGAATTTTTCTACCAAGGAAGGATTGCCACCGTACGGGGGGATCAGATGGGATCAAGGGAATGCTACCTTAATTCCCTAAGGAAATTCGATCCCCGTAGCGTAAACATGGTTTTGATGGAAGCGGAAATGATTGACGCACCTAAAGGAGGTCCTATCCTTGAATAAGGGGAAGACGTCAACATGGTGGATGCCCCAGAAGAAGGGGTCATTGAAGTGGATTTCGATCCCAGAATCACAAGATAAAACTCTCAGACAACCTCCCATGGAAGAGCTTGAACTCTTCCCCGTGAACCCACATGACCCCACATAGGTATTGCAAATTGGAAAGGAGCTCGAATATGGAGAAAAAAATCAGGTTTAAGGGGGTTCCTGCTTAACAACTTGGACGTATTTGCTTGAAAACACGAGGACATGGTGGGGATTGACTCTAAAGTCAGTTGCCACCAACTTAATTTGGACCCGAAGTCCACTCCTCACCGTAAGAAAATGTTCTTAAGTTTGCCTTTTGCTAATTGGACTAAAATGTTTTTCTTTTTGATGTCATCTGCTTATGAATGTGAATTTTGTGAGGGCCAGTGGTTTTGTAATGCTCCTTGAAAGAAAGGCTGGTTTTTTAATCAGATGAAGTTGAATTTTCTTTTAGCACAATTTGTGGTCCGATGGCTAATTCCTTGCTGCGAGGGAGTACTTCATCCTACATCTAAATTTTGTTAAGATTGACATGAACACACTGTTCACTACACCTGTTTCTTCATGGAATTTTCACTGAGTAGAGTTTGTGAAAATTAAGTGCGCAAATGTGGCTATACGAGGGTTTATTTAGAGTTGAAAATTTTGAACCATGTGAACTTCAAATCCATTTCCATGAAGTTCTGACTTAAGTTTTGGCATGATTGAATCTGAATGAATTTCAAATTTTAAATCTATTGAAGGTTGCATTTATGATGTGGAACGTCCAACTTGCATTATTTTGTAGTTCATTCCAATACCTAAGGTACAGTTTGATACCACCATTTGTAGTTTTGGTAATATATGTCTTGGAATTGAAATTTCTTTAAAATACACGTCTGTGCTTTAACTTATTCATGTTCCTTTTAAACAAAACTCCTAGCAAATTATAGATTTCATATTCAAGTATTATATCTTGGTTCGAGATCACAATTTGCTGTTCTACTTTTTAAATTCAAATCCGTTAATTAAACCCTAGAGTTAACTTGACTGGTCCTTCACTTATCCGTGGACATGTTAATTATATTTTAATGCCATTTAATCTGAACAGTGTATCATTTCATTGTTCACGTTCGATTGGAGCACAAAATTAAATTTTCGCTATATTGTTGACATTTTTTTATAACCTTCAAATTTGGGCAGCACTAAAATGTTCGAAAATTTCCAAGTATGTTGCAGCATCAGAGTTTATGGAGAAGAGAGGATAAGGGCTTTGTCTCGTACGCATATAGAAAAGCCAGAAATTAGCTATTTATTTTAAGTTTGTCTTGTACCATAGTGCTTAGGGTTGTCAAGTGTCGACTAAAATATCCTTAGTTGTTTCCATGTCAAGCAAATGGGTTTGTTACATGGAATTTGACTCTTAATATGCTGTGCAGCTCATGTGCTTGGCAAATCTAGAGTTTGATCATATTTGTTACGCTTCGATACCTGGGCTCCCACGTGGCCATACTTGGACTTGGGAGGGTATTGTTATACTTCGCCATCTAGGCTCCAATGTGGCTCAGCCGACCCATCAAAGCCATGTGGCATCTCACGTAGAGTAGGATCTACGAGAGTCTAGACAAATTCAACCTACCGATACCCACTCTTATCGAAGCAATTCATGAGCTTGACCCCCTTTCGAAGTCCCTTTGACAAAGACAAATTTGTAGTCCAAACGAAGCTTCCTTGTCGAGGTGGCGAGGTTCAACGAAGCAGAATCTGAGGCCCAACTAAGGCTGGTGACAATCCACGTTTGAAGATCTTAAATTTATGAAATCCTTTTAGAATAATTGATTGGACTTTTGTAATGAGTAGAAAGCTCAATCTTGTTAGCATAGGTTATAGGGTGGTCATCTCCCTTTTGGGACATTTAAACCGCCATAGGCTAGTGGAGTTAAAATTGGTACCTAGGATGTGATGTTTCGATAAAAGAGGTGAAGCCACGTGTCCTTCCATCCATGGTTATTATTTTACATATAGCACTATAAATATCCACCATTTGTGTTATTTGGGGGTAATGCAAAAATATTGATTACAAGTTTATTAATCCTGGATTTTTAGTGTTTGAGGTTGTGCTCTCAATTTTGAGCTTGGATCTTAGTTGGTCATATGTTATTGTGTAATTTATCTCATATATTTCGTCGGAGCTCGAACATTTTTTTCTCGTGCTATAAAGCTTCTCCCACGTCTAAACCTTGTTTTATTGTCGATTGACAATCGACTCCCGTGTGCTGGAATCAGCTTGAGAGAACATGAGTGGGCCCAGTGTCTCTTCTCCATGTCTACAGTGTAAAAAGCAAAGTCAACAGATTGACGTCGTCCGTGAGAACACATCACTATAACCACAAACATTTTCGTGGAAAATTTTTATCGGAGGATAGTTGGACATCCCCCTTGAAAAAAGATTTGTTCTTGAAAAAGATCAAGATGAAGCCCCAAAAGTTGAAAAACTTTGATAGTGTAGCTAAGGAAAAATGTGTTCAGATTGTGATGTCCCTCCTAAAAAGGTAAGAGAAACCCTTGATGTAGAGGCTCCACGAGTGACGGCTCCAGCAGGTCGGCGCTGACCCCACCACCTCCATAGGCATGGTGGAATGAGGGTAGTTGCTCAACTCACTCGAGAGATAACAACCATGGCTGCCGACATAAGGAATATTACCCACCAAAACATGGTCATGCAAGAACTCATGCAGATACAAGACCAATGAGGACCTTCAATCCCTCCTTTTACACCAAAAGGATACTATTCACGTGAGGATGAAGTCTAAAGTCAGAGGGCCCCACTTGCCCAGAAGGCTAGGGAAGTTAGCCCCTTGAAAGGGAAGTGTGGATTGATATTTTTTCAAACTATGTTTCTGGCCGACCTACCTAAGCCCATGTTGACATGGAGGATCATTTTTCCCCCGAATATGAGCCAGAACACGTCACAAAGGTCCGTTAGTGTGTTTAACAGATTCAGCCCTGCGGGAATCAGGCACAGGCCATCCCAGCCACCTCATATGCCTAGGAACAGTTCGCAACCACCACCTTTTGAAACCCAGCCACCGGAGGAAAGACAAGGACTTGCCTCAAGTGCTGTCCTGCCTAGAAATAGGCACCACATGAGGGAGATGGTAAGGAATCTGGCAAGACCATCTCATCTTTCGCCCAAATATTAGGCTAATGAAGAGGAAGATTCAGATGAATCCCAAAGATCTTGTGAACTTGATGATGTGCTCTATAAAAGAGGTTTTTTCTTGCCCTCTTCCAGTATGTGGGAAGGCAAAGCCACCTACATCCTCCGCAAAACTCATGAGAGCATTTGCGAAAATCATGTTGGAGCACTTGCGTTGGCACGAAAAGCACTACAACAAGGGTATTATTAGCCCACTTTGAAAAAAGACGCGATTCAATTTGTACGAAAGTGTGATAAATATCAATGCTTCTCTCCTATCTAGAGACAACCGTCCCAAAAGCTAAGAGTGGTATCCTGCCCATAGTCGTTTGCCAAATGGGGGATCAACCTTATAGGCTCTTTACCCAAGGGTAGAGGTAGCACGAGCTTTGTTATATTCACTATTGATTACTTCACAAAATTGGTTGAAGCTGAACCTTTGGCCAAAATCACAGAAGCCAACACTTCCAAGCTCACGTGGAAGAATATAATATGTCAATTTGGAATTTCCCATTCAATTGTCTCAGATAACAGGCGCCATTTGAAAACAAAAAGGTCAGAGACCTGTGTGAAGAACTCAGGATCAAGAAGCATTTTTCAACTCGGCGAGTTGAAAAAACAATCGGCATGAATTATACACTCGGCGAGAAAATACCAAGACAGAGAAGAAAACACTACACGCAGAAAACTTAACCTTTTGGGGCTACACATCTCTCTCCAACTGAACTGCTACCAGTGTAATGCACCCTTCATAGCGCAAATCAGTTCTTCTCCCTACGACTTCACCTCTCCGAGACTTCGCTCGGTGCCTCAGCTCTCGCTCTCATCTCTCGCTTTCCAGGTAGGGACTTCTTTTCTATTCTTTTTGTGGAATGTGGATTGTATTGTTTTAAAAGGTTCAATGATGTTTTAGTAACTTAGTTGTGGTATTTCATTTATTTTTAATTTTAGGATATTTTTTATTTGAATTTTTATTTTTTGTTGATGGGTATGTTTTTTGATTGTATGTTTATATAGGTAATGGATTGGTCATAGATTTTGTGATTTCTGTTGATGAAATGGGATCTGCAACAGCGGCATTAAGGCCGGTAATCCAATTCAATGGAATCGCGATGAGAACCTTGAATATGTTTCATTAGGCATTAGCTAATATAAAGAATCTTTTTGGTTTAATGGAGGTAAGATTAGTCCAGCATCGCCTGAGTTTGAACCTCAGTCGCAACAATTTTGAGAGTTCATAATATTGAGTGGCTTTTTGCCTTTCTCACCTTTCTTTGTTAAAACATCTTGACTCGAGTGATGCTAACCGTAATGAAACCAATTGCGGGTTGCAACAAATTTCAGAGCTCTCTTTCCTTGAGGATCTGTACTTGTCAGATTGTCAACTTAGCAACCCTTTGCCAGCTTTTGTTATCTTTATGTATTTTTCTTTGTCATCTCTTCCGTTCCTCGATCTATCCTATAATGGTCTCACTTTCTTTTCCATATTCCACTCGTTTTTTTAACTTAAGTACCCATCTTACTTGCATAGACCTCTTTTGTAACCAATTAGATGCTCTCATTCTTGATACATTTTCTTGAGGAGCTTCAATTGAATATTGGAATATGCTCCACGAGATTCCAAAATCAATGGGAAATTTAAGTCATTTGCACACAATCAATGTATCAGACATTTACTTCTAAAGTTATCAGGTTAGCATTGAATCACTGGAGTATATATATTTATCCTACAATCTACTTGTTGATTCATTCCCAGATATCACCCAATCTTCATCCTAAAAAGAGTTCAGACTTATAACAATCAGTTGAACGAGTTTTACCCACTCAGGCGACTTCGTTACAATTAACTTGGAGGACCATTACCAGACTCGAGAGCATATTCATCATTGCAAAAATTAGTTCTCTCAGAGACTCAATTAAAAAGGCTAGACAAAGGTACTCGGCAACTTTCCAAGCTAAAAAAATTGGACCTCTCTTCAAATTATTTGGAAGGAACAATCACATGAGAACACTTTTCAAACCTAGCCAAGACTACCTAGTTTGTTACTACAATTCCCTAGCTTTGAACATGAGCTCTGATTGTACTCCTCCATTTCAATTGAACTCAATATACCTCAGATTTTGCAATGTGGGGGCTTCAAACTTTCAAAGTTCGGTGTTGATTAAATTATATCCGCACTGAACAATATTATTGGCTCTATCCCTGTTTTTCTCGAGTGCAAGTGTTGATTGTATTTACATTTTTTTTAGTTATATCACAATCAAAGTGTAATAAACCGCTATCCTATTTAAAAGTTTTATTCTTAAACATCTATATTGAAATTTAAGTTATGAGAAAAATATTACTGAAATAACATATTGCAATATGGACTATATTAAAAGACACAATTGTCAACAAAAAAATTACATATATGATCAAGAGAACGATTCTCTTTTCCACCGTGTTGCAATAAAAAGAAAATATATCATTTGAAATACCATAATTTTGGGAACATTGTCAGAAATGTTAAAAGAACCAAATTAAAATCTAAAAATTTTGAATTAATTAAAATTTCTAAATATCTATTATAATAATTATTTTAATCACCTGATTTGCAAGTAAAAGTTACAAATATAAAATATTTGATTTGTCTAATTTTTCTCAAGGGTTTTATCCCTCGGTATTACACTAGAAATTAGGAACAATTTAGGCAAAAAGGGATACAATTCGTCATTCCTGTGGCACCACTTTATCTCGTGTTCTGCTCAACATCTTCATCACCAAACTTGGAAGGTAGTATCAGATTTTATTAGTGTAAAAACGGGTTTATACGTTGAAATCCCACTCGATTGGACTGCTGTGAATGATTTAACTGCAACTCAACTCCTTAGAATTTATGTATTCCAAAATTGTTGTTTCTTGATGGTAGAAACAGTTATTTTTGATGCGGTTGTTTATGGTTTTCTCCTTGCCTTTAAAACTGACCTCCCCTCAAGTATAATAGGAGAAATGCCCATGTGGATGAACACCTGATTTGGAGGCTTATTAACTGAGTCATTAGAAATTGAAGTACTTGAATTAATATTATATGCGTGAGACTGGTAGATTGATCAAAGAAGACAAAACAGTAGGTCTACCAGGTCCCAGATGAATGGATTGTTGGATTCTCTGGGATTAAAATCTTGAGTCTAGATCAGTATACTCACGATTTTAAAATTTCTCCTTAAAGAGAACTGCTGGGTGTATTTGGTTATCATCAATGGTTAATTGTTCATGTATACTTTAGAATTAGGGCTGTTTTGTTATTAACACTTCCTTTGGTGTTTGAATGGATTATGTATGGATTCTTTAATCTCGAAACTATTCTTTAGGTATTAACACTTGCTTTGGTGCTTGAATGACTGAGGATTGTAGTGCTATGATTTTCTCTCATCTATCTCACCCCTTAAAAAGTTCATTGTACTATGCAATAGGTGATCAAATGTTGGCTTCTTGTTGAAGTTGAGTTTGAGAAGTGAAATGAATCCTCTCACGGTTTGTTTTCTATGTTGCAGCTTAAGGATACAATACATCATGGTGAATGCCATCAAAGGATTGTACATTTCATGGTAAATTACTATTTGGCGACGAAGTTATTTAATGTGCTAATTTTCCAACTATTGTGGCATTTGATTGTCATTTTGTGTGACCGTACCCCCCACCAAAAATAAATAAATAAATAACTAAAATAAAAGAGGGAAAGGAAAAAGAAAACTACTCCCACAAAACCTTCTTCATTCTTTCTACTTGGAAGACATATGTTAAGGCATCATTTCCAAAATGACCCTTTACTCCATTACCCTTGCTTTTTAAAAGTTGGTGTGGATTAGCTGCACCACGTGATATATATGAATGATATGTTGACCCTCTGTTAACCGACTAAGAGTTGGTCTTCCTAACCCAAGGATTTTGCTCTGTTTTTCCCTTCACTTCTGCAATGTAATTGAAATCAAAATAAGGTGAATCCTGTAGCAGATTTTGAAACAAGACAGTCTTCAAATATATTTTACTAATTAATCTTGTTTTCTGGATTTTGTACCAGCATAACTGTGTTTGTTGAATCTGACTGACTAAGTACGCACTTTCATCTGTCTAACCACGTTTAGTGTGAAATTCATGGTATTACGGAGCATCCACTCCATGCTTTCTGTCAATAGCCATCATCTAATAGGGATTAGCTTTATCTTTCTTATCCAGTGACATACCTATGGCGCAATTCATCATCAACATGAATGCTGCACTGCCTCAAACAGATAAGTTCATCATACAAGTATTGGATAACACTCATCTTTTTGTGAGGTCAGACATGGCTGGGATGATACGAAGTGCCATTGCATCATTCAGAGAGCAAAATACCTACGAGAAGCCTTCTTAATGTGTAAGGATCATTGCTGCATTCAATACATAATGATGCCATGCTTTTCAAGTATGTATAATCTTATTTGTTTATTTGGACCTACATGTTATGAACTAAACCTACAACAAGGACAAGTATTGCTATTTCTACTCCAATTTTTAAGTGCAGGTCTTGAAAAAAAATTTGAACTTCATGAGTTTGGTGTGCTTTTGTTTTGCTATTTGATACAGTGCTGATGCATCTTAATATAAGCTGAATTATGACTTATTTGATCCAATATTTTGGTGGTATCAGACACCACTAGCTTTCACGGACCGCAGGTCATTCCCTTAATCGATTAGACTGCGTGTTCCTCGAAAATACATGAGTGCGAGGTTCCATTGCATATGCTTAAGAACGAAGGATAAAACTCGAAAGACTTATTGAACCTGAATGCGTGCATGGTTAATATTTATCCATATTGAGCCCTCTTTCTGCTAGGAATTGGGCTAAGCCCTTGTTTGGTGGGGATTAAATCTAATTTTTAGTAGATTTCGATAAAAGTTGATGAAATGTGTGGTTAAAAAATTGTGGATTCCATAAAATGTGTGGTTAAAATGAATTCATGACTTTGACTTAGATTAAAATTTGAATTTGAATTTCTACCAAACAAGGGATAAATGTAAAATTAAGACAAGAATCCCAAAATAGAAATGATTTCGTGTTTCAGAATATGAAAAAAGAAAATGTACAAAAAAAAAAAGAATACAATGAAACAATTCTGTGTAGAGTAGCCATCAAATCAATCCACTTGGATAGTTATTGATATTTTCCATCAACAATTTGATAAGCCCCCAATTAAATATACGTATTCTAGAAGGCATCAGAAGAAAGGAGGAGAGGGAACAAGTAACAAATTCGGTTACGGTAGCCCAACAAATCTGTTACTAGAACCTATAAATAGAAGGAAAGGATCCATAGAGGGGATATCGAATCCGAGTGAGGAAAATCGCAATGGGAGAGTCACAGCCCTCTCTAATGGTTGTTTATGTTTTCTTTTTACAGTTGTAATTTCCCTTTTCAATCAATACAGAATTCCATTTCTGTTTTATAATACACAAATCTATCAATCTGATATCAGAGCACCTAATCCAACACCATAATCATGACGCTTGCAGATCGTGTTGGGGAGTTAGAGCTGAAAGTAGATGGAAATCATCAAGAGCTTAAGACGGAACTGCACGCAGGACTGAAATCTCTACGATCGGAGTTCAAGGAGATGTACACCGGAATGTTAGAACAGTTCAGACTATTGATGGGCATACAGAACAATCAGGGCCAGAAAGAGAAAGGTACGATCTCTGAAAAATCACCATGAACATCCACAGATTCGGAGGTAGCCCAAACCAGGCCAGACCTTAACCAATGTACAGGCGGTGGGTCAGGTATGGGATGGAGGGGTGAACCACGGATGAGGAGGCTAGAAATGCCCGTATTCGAAGGGGAAGATTCGGATGGTTGGGTTTTTCGTGTAGAGAGGTATGTCGCCCTCAATCGCTTGTCGGAGGAGGAGAAAGTGGAAGCTGCTACAGTATGCTTCGACAGCGAGGCCCTTGCTTGGTTCAAATGGGAGGAGAAGATTCACTTGCTTCGACAGTTTCGACCCTCTCAAGAAGGATCCCTATGCGCCTAATTTCTTTCCCTGCGACAGATCTCCACTGTCTGTGACTACCGCCGGCGTTTTGAAACGTTGGCCTCTCCATTAACAGATGTTTCAAAGGAGGTGCTGGAATGCAACTTCCTAAATGGGCTGAGCCCAAATATCAAGGCTGAAGTATTGCTACTAAAGCCCATGGGCCTGGAGCAGATTATGGAAGTGGCCTAGAGGGTAGAGGACCGAAATGCCATAACCAAATATTCTCAATGGGGTGCTGGCCCAATTAAACCAAAAATTATACCCTTCCATAACCCAAATCCACTTCAAAACTTCACCCATAATCCATATCACGCACCCAACCCTCCAAATCGCCACACAGTCCTTCTGAAATTTCCCCAAAATCGCCCAAACACCTTTACTAAATTTTCCACCCCTTTCAAAAGACTAACTGACGCCGAAATCCAAGCCAAAAGAGAAAAAGGCCTATGCTATCGTTGTGATGAACAGTTTACCATTGGCCACAACTGTAAGAACAAAGAGCTAGAGGTTTTGGTGATCCAGGAGATGGAGGAAAGTGAGGAGCAGGTCGACTCAACAGTGGCCAACGAAGGAAGGTTAGGTGCCGGCGAGTTGCATAACACCGAAGGGGAGATACAGGAGCTGGGTCAATCGGTGGAGCTCTCCCTAAATTCAGTTGTTGGGCTAACAGCCCCAGGTGCCATGAAATTGAAAGGTTCGATCAATCAAAAGGGGGTAATAGTTTTGGTGGATAGTGGTGCATCACACAATTTCATTTCATCAGACTTGGTCCAGCAATTAGGATTCACCCTGACTGGTACTTCGAGCTACGGAGTGGGAATGGGTACAAGGCTCACTGTAAAAAGGGACGGGATATGTTGACTAGTGCCTCTGAAGTTACCGGGATTATTGGTCGAAAAGGATTTCCTACCTCTAGAGCTGGGCAGCTCGGATGTCATCTTTGGAATGCAGTGGTTAAGGTCACTAGGTAGAATGCAGGTGGACGGGAACACTTTAACTATGATGTTTGACATCGAGGGGACTAAGGTGACCTTGCAAGGGGACCCCAGCCTCAGTAAAATACTGGTATTGTTGAAATCCATGTGGAAGGCTTTTAAGGAGCAGGGCGAAGGGGTTTTATTGGAGCTGGGAAATGTCACTGTCAGCCGTGACTTTATTCCATCCAATCCGTCAGGGATGATTGACAAAGTATTGGAAGAGTTTAAATCAGTATTTGAGGATTCCAATTAGTTGCCACCAAAGAGAGATCATGATCATGCTATTACCTTGAAATCAGGGGCGGAACCAGTTAGCGTGAGACCGTACTGATACCCACACTTCCAGAAGAATGAGATTGAGCAGTTAGTGAAGGAGATGATGGCAGCCGGGATCATCCAACACAGCAATAACCCTTTCTCTAGCTTGGTACTACTGGTAAGGAAGAAGGATGGGAGTTGGCGATTTTGCGTGGATTATCGGGCGTTAAATAAAGTCACAGTCCCAGACAGGTTTCCGATTCCGGCCATTGATGAGTTACTTGATGAGTTGAACAGGGCCACGATGTTCTCGAAGATAGATCTAAAGTCCGGGTACCACCAGATTCGAGTGAAGGCTGAAGATGTCCCAAAAACTACTTTTCGAACTCATGAAGGCCATTATGAGTTCATAGTCATGCCCTTCGGCTTGACTAATGCCCCAGCCACCTTTCAATCCTTGATGAACTCCATCTTCAGGGAGCAGCTTCGGAAGTTTGTGTTGGTCTTCTTTGACAACATCCTAGTATATAGTCGCATAGAGATAGAGCATCGTGATCGTTTGCGAATAGTCCTGCAGATTCTAGTAGACCATCAGCTCTTTGCAAATAAAGGGAAATGTTCATTTGGGTAGTCAAAAATAGAGTATCTCGGGCATATCATATCAGACAAGGGAGTGGCGGCGGCTGAATCCAAGCTGTCTACTATGAAGGACTGGCCACGACCTCAGACACTGAGAGAACTACGTGGTTTTCTGGGGCTGACGGGGTATTATTGACGGTTTGTAGAATCCTATGGAAAGATAGCTTGGCCGCTAACTCAACTACTGAAGAAGGATAGCTTCGCATGGAATGACGCCGCAGAATCTGCCTTCCCAAAGCTGAAAGAAGCAATGACGACAGTACCGGTATTGGCTCTTCCAGATTTTTCACTGCCCTTCGTGATTGAGACTGATGCTTTTGGGCATGGATTAGGGGCGGTCTTGATGCAGAACTAGAGGCCAATTGCCTATTTCAGTCATGTTCTACCACTAAGGAGCCAGATTAAGTCAATTTATGAGAGGGAGCTCATGGCAATTGTGTTGGCAGTACAAAAATGGAGGCATTATTTGATGGGAAGACGTTTTGTGGTGAGAACAAGCCAAAAGAGCCTTAAATTTCTCTTCGAACAACGCTTTGTAAATGTTGAATATCAGAAATGGCTAACAAAGTTGTTGGGGTTCGATTTGGTCATTGAATACAAACCAGGGTTGGAAAACAAAATAGCTGATGCGTTATCACGTAAGGGGGGCACAGCAACATTAATGGCTTTGAGCATACCGAGTACCCTACAGTTAGGTAAGGTAATAAGGGTAGTCGAAGAAGATTTCGAAGTGAATCAGATTTTATCTGCCATAAGGGAGGAGCCTTCGTCAAGGTCGAGATATGCTATAATTGGTGAGGTCTTGCTATATAAAGATAGGATTACTTTGCCCAAGGGCTCTTCATTGGTTTTGTTAGCACTACATGAGGGCCATGACAGTAAGCTGGAGGGTCATGGGGGCTTCCTTAAGACTTATAGGAGAGTAGCAGAGACTTTCCATTGGATTTGTATGAAGAAGGATATCAGGGAATACGTGGTTGCTTGCGAAGTTTGTCAACAGAATAAATATTCCACATTAGCACCTGCGGGACTGTTGTAACCACTACCTGTACCTGAGAAAATATGGGAGGACCTCTCCATGGACTTCATAGAAGGGCTGCCAAAGTCTGAGGGAATTGACTCTATTTTGGTAGTAGTCGAACGCTTGAGTAAATACGGCCACTTTATAGGCTTGAAACATCCATTCACAGCACCCACAGTAGCTGCAGTATTCATCAAAGAAGTGGTTCGGTTGCATGGGATACCAAAATCCTTCATTTCTGACAGGGATAAGGTATTCATGAGCAAGTTCTGGAGTGAGCTATTTCGTTTGCAGGGTACTAAACTGAAGTATAGTTCGGTCTATCATCCTCAAACTGACGGCCAAACGGAGGTGGTAAATCGAGGGGTAGAGACCTATCTACACTGTTTTACTTCATCCCGACCAAAAGAGTGGTACCGTTTTCTTCCTTGGGCTAAACTCTCCTACA